AAACATTGAGGTCATTTGGACTTCTAGAACTCAAGATATAGGATGAACATTGAACAGTGTCTGGGCTACAAGACAAATTTAGACTTTTACATTGTTGCTAAGATTTGAACCTCCAAACAGCATAATTGAGTCCTAACTTTCCATGAAAGTTTTAGGCCTATATTTAAGTTTTCCATCAATATAAAGTAGACCTAAATATGAGATTCACAGCTCCAGATATGACCCAATTACCGAACAGTATTCCAGTTTGGACTGCACCACCATCTTTTTTTTAAGTTTGGCCTTTTTTTTTCCTTTCAATTTCAATACTTCAACTCATGAATTAATATTTTTATTTATGTGATAGACCTGTATTTAGAATGAACATTTATCATAAATTAAAGGTACCTTATGGTATCAGACTTATTATTATAAAACATGCTTTAGTTGAGTTATTGATACTTCAAGTGCAAAATGATAATATAAAACCTTTATAAAAATAAATTTTTAAGTATTAATCATCTACCTTATATTTCTAGAAAAAGGTTGTGTTTACGTTCAACCACTCGAAGCTTTAGATCATCGATTCTCTCTCCTCAACCATAAACAGCAAATATCATCACTACCATTGGAATCCTTTCACCTAGATCTACCATAATCTATATTTTTTTCCCCAAATTATCATAGTAAAAGTTTCCTCCAACAGTGGCCATGTGTGAGCTACACGCATTACCAGAGGCTTTATTTGTAATTTACAATGAAATTGATCTTTTTTCTATACAATGACACTCAAGTGATTTTGAGGACCTATAGGGGTATTTTTTTTGTTTTTTATACATGTATTTATTTGTATATTTATATTTTGTAAAATACCAGAAATAAATATAAAAAAGAATGACAACAGAGGTCCAGCACCTAGTTTATCCTATCGTCGTGCGTGGGTCTGAAGCTCAATTCTCAAATATGGGTTATGACTATTTTTTAGCTATTCCAACATAATCTTTCTTTTTAGTGATAAACATTATTCAGCAACATATCCTTTTTTTTTAATAAGGACAATGTCAGAATCTTAAAAACAAATATGGATTGTGTTTTTTTTTTGTGCAACTTGGTCGTAACTCTTCTTTTTGGGGTTAAACATTAACATTTCAACGAGTCTTTTATTTTTGGAGATTGGTTTATTTTATTTTTTTATGTGTCTTTTATTTTTAGGGATCGAAATTAACTCTAAAACAATAAATTGAAAATAAGCTCGTAATATCATAACATTTGAATAAAATTAGAAAAAACAAAAAGGTAACATTTTACTTGAAATGATGGTTTAAGGGTGATATTTATATTCTATTAATTATAACTAATCTAGTACCTGAATTTTTGGTACCAATGTTTAATTTGAGTTATACGATTTCTTAAAATTATTAAATTATAACTCCAAAAAAAATTAATTTTCTCAAAATAATTTTTTTTAATACCAAAAAAAAGTATCCCGTGATGTCGTGTATTGACATTTTTCATTTCAAAAATGTCCTTGAGTTATAAAATTTTAATTTTAATTTTTTTTATAAAAAAATTTATATATTAAAATATTCTAAGTAATTGTATGAAATTCTTATTTTATATCCTTATATATAATTTGAGGATATTTTTGGAATACAATATATAAATATTTCAATCTGTACAAAAATACTTAGAAATAAAGAAATATTTTAGAATTAGATGCTATATAAAAATAAAAAGGACACAATTAGACTTGGCCATATATATTAAGACATTTATCCTGGAAAAAAAAAACAACTCGTGCATATTAAGACTAATATCACCTCCTGATTCAATTAAAATAGGTCATTAATATACAATATTAAAACGAAAAAGTGTGTTCTATGACTATGATTAACATGCATAGATAGCTAGTATGCTAATATAATGTAATCTAATGTAATAAAAATACAATAATATAATGAGTCCCTCGATCTTACAGCATATAGAAAAACAAATATTGATATCTATTTTAAAAAATGAGAAAATCTTTTTAACTAAATATTTTGAATCACAATTTCTTAGCATATGTTTATTATAACTTCCTTTTAATTAAACTCATCAAAGATAATTTCATAAGTTTTAGTTTAAGATGCGGATTGAATATTTTTTATAAGATCTAAAATTAAATTAAAAAATAATTATTTTTAGTAAACCTACTCATATTAAATGCTTTTAAATTACTCAAAAACTTATGATTATATAAGAGTTGAATTATGTATTATTTGAACCATTATTATATTTTAATTAAACCCTTCTTCTTAATACAATTACAAAATCAAATAATGCATATTATTTCTTTAAAAATAATAATAGGATATGCATCGGTATTACAAATTGTAATACTTTAATACTCTTTGATTTTAGTATTACGATAGAAATTTTTTAATTTTAATTTCAATCAATAATACGATTCTATAGAAATTATATAAAATTTGGGTTAAATATTTTAATGGATATAAGATATATTGTTACTCATGTTTAAGCATAATAGTAACAATACAAATAAATATATTTATAATGACTATGACAACACAAAAATGAGATTACAATAATTTAGTAAAATCAATTAATAATAAATTTGATATAAATAATTGAACAAGATGAAAATAATATTATATATACTTGATTAGATATTTTAGAAGATAATAGTTATTTATGGTTGAATACTCATCCACTTAGTACAGGCTAGTTTATTGCCGGTGCTTTTGTTTGAGGGTTGGGTTTGAATTTTTTTTTAATGTAAAAAATACAATATCTAGACTATCGTATATGGTATTATTGTTAAACTTAGTTCAATAATTTAAGCTAAAAAACTGATGACTTTGACCTTTTTATTAGTCCAAGTTTTAAATTAATTTGAATTGACATTTAAGAAAGGGATGGTTCATTTTGGTATTTTGTTTGATTTGTTATTTAAATTATGAATTTTTATCGGATTGAATTATTTTTTTATTATATTATATATTAAAAAATATAAAAATAATTTATAATAATTTAATAATGAATGATAAAATTTAATAAAAAATAATAGTAAAAAAATGAAAGAAAAAAAAGAGAGAGAGAGAGAGGATGGAAACACAAACGGTACTGCCATGTGACTGCACAAAAGTAGCCTAGTTTGTGGGCAAAGAGACAGGCACTATAAAAGGGCATGGGCCTATACCAAAAAGTCTAGGCAGCAGACCCACGAGCCTGCGCCTTTATTTTTATTGTTTTCACTTTATAAAGCGGTGGTAGACAAAATATGTAGGCTGTCACGTTGATGAAAATATTAGCAAAGTTAAAAGCTCGAATCGGCAACCTGAATCACGCCTTGCCATGCGTTAGCCAAGCAAGCCTTACATCAACTGTGTTAATAAACATCGTTCATGTGAACACTGATCCCCTCGTCTTTTAGTAATTCTTTGTAGTTTGTGATCGAATATCAAAGGACTGAAAGATCGAGATGTGGCGGCATCTGCATCCATTTTCTCGCAGGGAGGTAAAAAGGAGCAGCATGCTAGTAATTTCCCTACTCAGAGATGTTTTTGTCTGCACGTACATAGAGCAGCTAGCTGTGTTTTTTGGTTAGTAGCAAGAGCACCCGGGATTCCAATGGTGTCATATAGCGACCTGGTGTGGCTAGAAGGAGAAGTTGCAGAGGGCTAGGTCATCATCTACAGGCGAGAATCCAGCCAGCCTAATCCCAGCTACAAACAAATCAGTAGTGACGAGGAAGCTTGTCATGAAATGACGGGCTATGAGCATGACTTGTGAGACTTGAACTTGTATACTTCTCCGTCTGCAAATTTTACGCAGAACCGTCAATGTCTCAGGCTGGCCGGTGAGGAATCTCAATTATATGATTAACAAGTTGTTCCTGCCTTCCCTTTTTTTCAAGGAATCTAGCGGCCACTCTCTAGGCCAAGATACCTTTGGCGCGTTATGTGGCTTCCACTGACTAAGATGCTCAAACAACCACCCGAAGACAAAAGAGAAAAATAAATCATAATGATAATGATTATATCGGAGAGTAAGGAGATAAATTGTCTTCATCATCAGTTGCATGCATTCCTTTTTGTACGGTAAAGGAATCAGAAATAGAAAGCAAGAGGGTCACTACGTGCATGAAATATATCTCTTCAAATCAAGAGCTTCTCATTATGTTCCCCATTAGGACCCTCATTGACTCCTCACACGCCATACATCTGTCCCGGGTGTTTGAAAGTTCGGCAGTAATTTTTTTAAAATATTTATTTTATTAAAAACAACATTAAAATTATATATCTTTTAAAATGTTTTGATATAGCAATAAAAAAATTCAAAAATAAAAAGAAATTAATTTCTTATCCCCATTCGAGCTGAAAGCAAACTTATTATAAATGGTTTTCTTCCTTCCCCTTTATATTGCTGAATATTTTAAAGAGATGTGATTTTAATCTACTGGTAAATTCAATTTCCATTAATTTATTTTATCTTGGATTTAATATTTAGATCTCCCATTTAATAAGAAAAGAAATAACCCTCAATTACTTGGAATAGAAAGTTTTCCGACGGAATAGTCAATGGAACTCTACTCCAATATTGCTTTCAATTTAACTTTTCACTGCACCGATTTTTACTGCGTGATCTTCGATGACATTATTAGCCGGTGCCTTTATTTTTCATCTTCCCTAGTCACCGAGTGCTTGTACTTTATTATATATTTTTATTATCATTATTACATTTAAAAATATATGACAACAATATTTTTTTAACTTTTTAAAATTTATTTTTAACATTAATATATATCCAAAAAAAATTATAGAAATTAATTTAAAATAAAAAAAATTAATTTTTTAAAAATACTTTAAAAAAAGTAAAAACAAACCCGCTTTCCATAAATAATGTAATGACACAGCTTCCAATTCCCTCTATTTAACAATATTGAATTTGATGTCCTCAAAGCATTTCAATTAAAAGGTTGCATAAAGGCAGCAACCACCTTCACAGGAAGCTAAACTTTTTTAACTTGGTGGAGAATCGGCATGCTTTCTGCGAAAGGGATATATAAAGTATAAATTAAAAAGAAAAAAGGGCACAGAGAAAAGTAGATGCATTAAGACGTGAGGGAGCTCAGGACTGACAGCCGAACAAAGGATGAGAGATACGAAGGCATAAAGTTGATGGCCTCACGATCACCGTGCGCATGAGTAGTTCAAATCTGGAGGAGAGTAGTTCATCAGAGCCGCTCCTTTCACTGGAACTTTCTTCATTTATTATATTCTAGTTTTTAGTGTGGCGGTGGAGAAAATGTTTATATATCCAAATGATAAAAAATAAAAATAAAGAGTACAAAATGCTGTTTGCATTTGGTTAATTAATTGAGGGCCGATTAACTTAAATGATAAAAACAATAGTGTGGCGGTGGAAAACTTTCTTCTTCTTTTTTAATTGGTTTTATTTTTTAATTTTATTATTTAAATTCTTGTATTAATTAAAAATTGAGTTTTACAAATTTTTTTATGTGTTGATACAAATTGTATTTTTTAGATCACAGGTATAAAATATTAACTCAAATTGATGTTTGTTTTTTTTTGTTATTTTTATATATTGATTTTTTTTCAATTTTATTTTTTAATATTGAGTTTATTTATATTTTTATTTGTTTTCTATGAGAATAACTTGACTTCACGACCCGGGTTATAAATTTGTCATGTTAACTCAGATTGGTCCTAAACTTTTACATCATTTTATTTTATTCAAATTTCATATTAAGTTTTCTCCTCTTTTTTTTTCTTTTTTTTTCCTTTTGATCTATTTTTCATATTGATTTTATTTTTTCAATCTTATTCTTGAACATTGGTGAGCTTTATAATTTTTTCCGTGTGGTGATTCAATTTTATGACCTGAATCATATATATAAAATATTAGCATGAATTGCTAATGTCTTTTTTTTACATTTATTTTTTTTATTGCATCCTTCAATAGTAGATTTATTGAAGATTCAACTTCTTTATTTTCTTTATTTTTCTTTCTACAAGGATAGTCCAGCCTCACGAGGGTGTTATAGGTTTCTTAAGTTAACTTGGTTTAATTCAAAACTTTTACAACATTTTATTTTTATGTTAAATTTTATCCTTATTCTTTTCATTTCTTTTTTTTTTCCTTTAGATCCTATTTTTAAATTGATTTTTTTTCTAAATCTCATCCTCCAATTTTGAATTGTCAAGAATTAGACCTCATAAATTTTTTATACAATGATTCCAGTCTCATAACATGTGCAAATAGTGTAAAATGTTGACTCGGATTTACATCAGTATATTTATTGTCATTATTTTTTTTCTTATCTTGTAATTAAATGAAACCACATTGTTAGACCCAATAGGATTTATGACTCAAGTTGTAAATTTTTTTTATATGTTTTAAAACATGCTAGTAATGCTTAACATTGTTTTTTTAAGTTAAAAAAAATCAACTCAACCCACGACAAAGTATTGGCCACCTATTTAGTTATTCTCTGTTAAAAAAAATGTATGATTTTAGATTAATTTTAATTGATCATGATCATGATATATGAGAATTCTTCTTTCCATATCAAAAAAAAAATTGACATCCTTTCAATAGTCATCACATCCTTGTTATTTTATTATTCTTAATTAACTAAATTAATGTGATGGAATAGATATATTCATCAAGTTATGACTAGATTTAGAAAATCTAGACCCAAATACATGGTCAAATTCTAAAAATTTAGACCTAGACCTAACCATCATTAAGTCCCTCGACATATCCTCAATTAACAGCTTAAACTTGATCATAACTCATTCTACTTTGCTTTTAATCACAATCTTGACCCTTTGATTCTAAGTTGTATTATTTGAGATTATATAAGTGTGATATATAATTCGAAGTTAATCCTGTTATTGAGATAATAGATAATTGAAATAAGTGTTGATAGAACTAATATATTGGTTAACTCGATAGTCCTTGTGGTCCTAGTTGCCTTGTTGGCTAACCCAATTCCTATAATGCTCGAAATAGAGAAAAACTAAGAATTTAAGTGGTGTGAACATAAATAGAAAGCATGATAGAGTGAGTTCTTCCACGGATCTTGGTGGTGATGGTGGTAAAAAGAAATCCAAATGAACTTGATTTATTTACAATAAAAAACACCACACTAAAGATTATTGTCATCATAAAAAGAAAAAATGATCAAGTGAATCTTGATCAAAAAGCTACAAAGCTATTACTTTTAAGTTAGAAGTAAAATTGGTGGATAATCCTAAAACATGAGGGGCGCTTTATATATATTTTGACATGAATAGTTTTTTTTAAGCATACACCAATTATTGATAAACAATAGTTGTTCATGAAAAAAAAATTTATGAGTAAAATCCAAAATCATGAAAAAGATAGTGCTAAAGATGATATTTAGGAAAGAAATGACTTTTCAACATCGTGGTTTATGCTTTTGATATTTAAAAGAATTTGGTTTTCTACGATGTAGGTTGGTTTTTTATTATTGTTATTAATAATGAAATGTTTATGAACAATTGGTATTTATATGATGGACTATTTAAATTTAATTTGATGATTTCCGTACTATGGAAAAAAAAGAACAAGATTAATAAATATTCTTTTTTTGTTTATATATTTGAGTTTTTAGATAAAAATAGTAAATATCTATTTGTGATTTAAAGTTTATCTAAACTAAAGATTATAAAAATATTTTATTGTTTCCGTGATGATTACAAACCATGTTGTTATGATATTTGCTTGCAAGCAAAGACAAGAACTTAAAAATATTTAAACATTTCGAAAGTACTTATCCATAGGATGACTAAGGTGAAAGGAAGCAATAAGAATTTACTTGGGAAAATAGCATATCATTGGTAAATTTGCAGTCATTAAAACAGCCGACCCTGTCAGCATCACACAATGCTTTTAAGCGCGTCTTAGGAATCTTGATAAGCAGGAGACCATGATGTAATGTGTTTGACATATCTGTGTTCTCCCCTGGTGGCTTCTGAGGTGTGCTCATGGATTGGCAAGGTCTGTTGACCGGAAGGCCACCATTATTTGAGTCTTGCTTATTTTGATTTACAGAGAAGACGTGAATATGATTCGTTAGAAACAACTTTTTTTATTTAAATTAAGATATTGTTGTAAAATTGAGTTAAATAAAAGTCGTAGTTTTTAACATGAATTATGAATTCTAACTTACACTGCATATATTATTTAAAAATAATTTTTAGGTTATGTTTGGTATAAATTTTGTAAATTGATTTTTTTTAATTTTAACTCATTAAAAAGTCATAGATATTACTGGTGGAGATAACTTGTAATTTAAATCAAATTTGATTGCAAAATTAAGAGCTGGTTGGCATGATTTATGAGAAATCATTCTTGAATTTAAGTTATAATTCACAAGTTGTTTTTCAAGTAAAAAATAAGTTAAAAATGACTTTAAATTATAATTATATTTGATAAAAATGATTTAAAATGACTTTTTTTTAATATGAGATCTAGTATAACAGAATCTATAAATTAAAGTTGTTAATTTTAACTTTTGATTAATTTAAAATTTTGACTTAATTTTGTAACATGTTTTTTATATAAATCAAGATTTATTTTAACAAAGCATGTTTATGATTTTTTTATAAGTCAAAACTTAAAATAAAAAAATATAAATATATTCCGATTTGCAAATGTCATGTAAAACAAACTCTAAGTCAAAATCTTGTTTTAATCAAACGTTAAAACTTTTTATTATTTTTATTATTATATGTTCAATTTTTTATTAAATTGTTCAAATTTTTATTAAATTTATTTTTAATATAAAATTATTTTTACTTTTCTCATAGATTATTGATGAAAAATAATTTTTGAATTATAAACCAGAATAAAAAAATTATAATTCAAAAGTTATATAAAAAAAACTCTTAAATTATAATTCCAAAATTTTAAATTATTTTTTTAAATCATGCAAAATTTCATTGTGTCTAAACATGTATTATTATTCACCGCAATAATATAATTATAATTTTTCTTTTCCAATAAAAAATTAATGAATTTGCTATTGGGTGGAATACAGTCTTTTTCACATGGGCCATAATCATTAGGAGAACAATATGTGCTATTTTTATGTTTTATATGCAGTGTGAAAATTATATTACCCTTACAAGTAAAATTTGCTAAAAGGCTCCTCTTACTTTGCACAGTAAAAAACTATATTACTTTTAAAAACAAAATTTTTCAAGCTGGCATCCATGGAATTTTTTTTCTTTTATAAACTGGTTTCTAGTTATTAACAAATTTGTGTGATATTATTTTTTGAAATACATAATTATTATTTTAAAAAAAATATTGTTGGTACATGAAATGCCTACAATACTTGTATCATCATTTCATATTCAAATGCCGTTTTTCAAAATAGTATTGGAAATATCTTGTTATAATTTTTATGTAGATGCAAATTGTGTAAATATAGAAGAAGTGGTTGGTTCTAGTGAACCTTTTCCTTTCCTATTTTGTCTTTATTTTTTCTATCAAAATATAAAGATGTTATTTTATTTGTTTGTTATCTAATTTTATCCTTATTTTTTGTATTACTATTGGTTTTTTAATTTTATTTTGATTTATTTTTTTCTTCAATTTCATCCCTCACTATTTTGTTTTATTTAATTTTTATATTAAATGTGGTCATTATTATTTTAATTGTTGTTTTTTTTCTTTTACTAATTGAATTTTGTTGTCAGTTTCATCCATAAATATTTAATTTTAAATTATTTTATATTAAATTTAGTTTTTATTTTTCTTATTGCTATTTTTCTGTGTTTTTTTATTTTAACTGTATTTTTTTTCATTCTCATCCCTTATAATTTTATTGATTTAAAATTTTTTTGTGTGTTATATTTTAAGGTTTGCTTTCTATAAGATTGGCCTTGAGCTCATGACCATGATCATGAGTTTTGATAGTTAATACATATTGATTTTAATATTTTTAAATCTTTTTTTTTCAACATTTGATTTGAGAATTGGTTTGTATATCTATTTTTTTTTATAGGCTTATCTTAATCTTGTGTTTAGTTAGTGACTTAACTTGAGTTAATTTAAATTATTTTTTATTTTTTAATTTTTTTTAAAAATTTGTTTCTTATTTAAAAATTAAACTTTATAATATTATTATTATTTTTACTTTTATTTTTTTAATTTTTTTTTAAATTTGTTTCTTATTTAAAAATTAAATTTTATAATAATATTATTATTTTTATATTTTTAAGAACACATAACTCGTATTAACATTATTTTTTTTCAATTGAAAAATATTTAGGCCACCTTGCAATGTATTTTAAGCCCAACAAGAAAAGGATACATTCATGAAGAAATGACGTGAAAGTAACGTGAGGGGCCAAGAATGTTTTTTAGCGTTGTCTGAAGTTATAGTTATAATTATTTTTTATAGTATTTTATAATTAAAAATATATTAAAATAAAATATATTTAAAAATATATTATTTTTGAGACCAACATATCAAAATAAAATAAAAAATTATAAAAAAATAAATTTAAAAAAAATCAAAGTTTTTTTTAAAAACAAATACGCAGAGAAGGAATGAAAAAGCTGGAATCCTTAAAGTAATTTCAAGAAAAAAAAAAACTAGCGGTAAAGTAAATTCAAAACAGATAAAAAAAGTAGATTCCCTCCAAACCAGTAGACAAAAAGCCACTCTCCCTCCCTCCCTCCCTCTCTCTCTCTCTCTTGCCCGCTAAAGAAAAAAAGAAACAAAAATCCCACCCTGACGGAATCATGTCTCCTCGTATATAAATCTTTCTTTTACCACTTAATTCCTATCAATCTCTTTCTCCAACAAAATCTCCCACTCTCAATCTGCAAGCAGCCATTATATATCGAAGGAATCTTCGATGAACTCAGAGCTCCATCGAAGCAGCTGATCATCGTCGTTCATGTACGCCTATCCTGGTTCGGCTTCCTCTCAGTCTTCAATTAAATATTTAATTATTTGTCTTTCTTCTTGGATTTTGGAAACTTGGCTTTATTTTTTCCTTTATGTGTTTGGCTTCTCTAATTAATTTCATGATCGAAAATCTTCAATGTTAATCAGACTACAGATTCAATCAAATACGCATGATGTATTCCAATCTTACATATATCTTTTAGTTTGTCGTCTAGCGTATGTGCACAACATGATAGATACAAACATATTTAACGCATGCTGAGTTCTTCTAGGCGTAGTCTATCAGTACTGATGGCTTATTTGCCTGGTTGATTTTTTCAATTTCCAAATGATGCCATGATCGTTGCTGTGAAAACTGAGCACGAATAACGGAAAGTGAAGTTTGAAAGTCACGTTTGTTTGGCTATTCTATTCTATTATGCGCACGCGCACACACATCACATGCCTGTGATCTAGTCTCCAAAATTGACAAACAATATTTTCCAGGTAAGCCTTATCGTCGATGGTTTTGTGATCCAACAACAAATCTTCCTTCTTCTTCTTTTTCTCTTTTTTTACAGATATATCTTAACCTGTTTGAAAGTCTGGGAAACTCAATTGAACTGCAATGTCAAATAAAAACTTGGTTTCATAGTTTCCTCGTATTATAGTAAGAGGGGTCCACAATTGAGAATTTATCCAACATTTAACGATAATGAAATTAATGTTATTAAATTTTAAGGTTGCTTCAAGTATCTATATAGAAATTAAAGCCAGTTTTATTAAAAGAATCCAAAAGTAAGCATTAAAATCCACCTAACCGAAAAAAAATCTAAATATAAGTAGAAAAAAGATATTAAAATCCAAAAATAATTAAAATAACAAATATATCTTGTAGATGGAGTTCTGGACTTTCATCTATTCTGTAGACACTTGAAAGAATATTAATTGTACCATATCGCAGTATGTCTATTGTCTAATGCTTAAATCCAGTGTCTCATTATTCCTCCTACCCCAGTCAGTGTCACGTACACATTACTATCTTTTGAATCATGCTTGTTGGAGCTTGTTTATGTTAGTAATTATTTTTTAAAATATTTTAAAATATTTTTTTTAATATTAATATATTAAAATAATTTTAAAAAATGTAAAAAAAATTAGGATTGCAGAGACAAAATGGCTAGTCACGATTCCGTATGTTAGGTAGAGAGTTGGCATTACTTGGCAGAGATTTGGCGTTACTTGGCACAGCGAGTCCCAATCACAGGAGGACATGGTGTGCTTGCAAATATCAAAAATAGAAAAAAGAAAGTAACTAATATCAGGTCAACCAGGAGTCCATCTCTGCTTGTAGTTGCTAGTCATTCTAGATTACACCAAAGATTTCCCTGCGATCCATCCAAGTCCAATATTGATCCATTGATTAAGAAGTTTATGATGTTTTTTTTTTTAAAAAATAGAATAATAAAAATAATATAGTTTAAAAAAGTCATATAATTGCAAATGGTATCTGACTCCTTTAAAAATATTAATTTTTTTAAGTTATTCTAAATTAAAAAAATAAATAAATATTATTTATTGTTTTTATAAAATAAAGTTAATATTTTAAAATATAAATTCTCAATTACAAAGATAATACATAATATTAACAGGTGTTAAGATTTTATTTATTAATTATGAAAAAATATTTATTATTAATAAATATTTTTTTCATAAAAAAATAAATACACGTGATTTGATTAACTAAATTGATGTGATTTTTTTTCCTTTCAAAAATTACATGCATTTATCTTTTTAATGAAAAAAATATTTATTAATAATAAATTGTTTTTATAATTACCAAATAAAATGTTAAAACCTCTAAATTTAAAAATTGTAAATATTATAAATTATACAAGATAATTAGAAATTTATATTCTAAAATATTATCTTTTAAAAATAAATTAATAATATCTTTATCACAGTTGGGATAAAGATAATAGATAATACTTTTTAAATTTAAAAATTAAAATAGTTTTTTAATAATTTTTTTAATATGTCATGTATGATTTTATAAACTGTATTATTTTTTTCAATTACCTTTTCAACTGTACTGTTTTTCAATATTTTATTTATGCTGTGCTACTAAAAAAATTCTCTAAATTTCTTAAAATTTGCTCGGTGGATGCTCTGGCTTTTATATTTTATTTATACTGTGTTACTAATATCTTTTATGCTAAGGATTCTAGCCAGCCTTATGTAATTATAATTATTTTTTAAAGTTTTTTTATTGAAATATATTAAAATAATATTTTTTTATTTTAAAAAAATTATTTTTGAAATCAGTACATTAAATCAATTTAAAACATAAAAAAATAATTTTTAACAAAAAAATAATTTAAACTTTTTAAAAAATCAAAGGTTCTCGACTCTCAAATAATTAATTAGCATTAGGTAGTGCTCAATAAATGCATGAAACGGAAGAAATCATAATTTCTTCACAAAAATGTGAGTCTTTTTGGTTTTTAGCACATTAAAAGAAATATATAATAAAATAAAAAATTATAAAATATATCTAGAAAAATAGAATAGTGTAAAGAGTCATAAATAATATTTGTGATTCGTCAGTTATAATTATTATTTATAATACTTTTAAATTATAAAATTATTGAATAAATGATTTAATAGAGAGAAAAAAAAGTTATATCAAAATTACGATGATGATATTATTATCATCGTTAAAAAAATCTTGATAAGATAAATTTAACAACAACAAATAAAGTTATTAATAATTACTAGAGTAGGTTATATAAGCAATCCAAAGACAAGTGAACATTAACATCTTTAGACGACGCGTGTGACTTACTCTGTTCATCGTTTATGATCTTATTTAATGTTATTGAATTTGTCTTGTTAAGATCTTTCCAACAATACTAGTGATATTATCATTAGAATTTTTGGTGTGATTTTTAAGTTATTTTTCTCTTCTCTCTCACACATATTACAAGGAGGAGAGAGATAGAACAAAGAAAAAAAAGATATCAAATACATAACTAATTTTCAATGATGATATTACTAATATCATTAGAAAGATCTTGTATTTAATGACATCAAACTAAATCACAAATAATAAATAAAATTGACTATACAAACTTTTCAAAGGTATCAGAACTTATTTATTTTTAGATTGCTCTTGTAGTCCATTATAGTTATAGTTATTGATGGTGATTTTCTAACAATATTAGTAGTGTTATTATCGGAATTTTTGTATGCTTTCATAGTTTTTTTTTCCCTTTCTTTTCTTTATTTTTACTGAATCAAGTATCCAATAATTTTATATTTTGATAAAATCATGATAATTACCACTCATGAATCACTGATATCATTTGTAATTTTTAAATTATATTATTTTTTAAAATATTTTTTACACTGATATTTTTTTTTCCTATGCTAGAAACCAAAAGTACTAAATAAATATGATACAAATGTTCGTGATACATGAAAGTCTGCCTCAAGGGACTGTGCAAAGCGAATAAAGCCACCAGGTACTGTTGAAAATAATTAGAAAAATTTACCCACGTTTGTCAACTTGACAATCATGCTAGTACGTGGTTGTTCTATCTCGATTGATAAGATAATAGTGTTCTTAAAATTGATAATCTACCTGATAATTTAGAAGGTATTTGAAATCAATTCTCAACAGTAAAATTTAATTATAGTATTTAATTTAAATTTAATAAATAAATAAATTGAATTCATATATTTAGAAAAAAATAAAATTTAATTTACTTTGTTTTCTATAGAATCCTTATTACCTGCATTTTATTTCTTTAACTGTCTTAAAAAAAGGGTTAAATATGTATTTTGAAGTAATTAATTTTAATATTATATTTTCTCTTTTTGAAATTGTAAGTCAAAGTGGTTCACCTCTAATTTATTTTTATAATATTTTTAAAGATTAAATTTTATTTGAAATTCAATTCTCAACATTTAAAGTTACAAATATGAGATTTCATCAAAACTCATGAATTAAATTCAATTCATAGGTTTACCAACATGAAATTAAATAACCAAATGTTAGGTTTTTTTTTTTGAATAATAATATCACTAGTATCATTAATAAAATTTTGACAAAACAAATTTAATATCAAAAAATATTATAACGTGATCGTAGTGTATTACAAAAATCATTTAAAAACAAATAAACCTTAATATATTTGAATGACTTGATATTTTTTTAATAATACTAATGATATTATTGTTAGAGTTTTGATGTGTTTATAGTGTAATTTTTTTTTTATCTTGTTTTTTTTATTTATTGTAAATTATGTCAATTTATTTTTAAAAATTAAAATAGTTTTATATGATACTTGCAACTCACGAGTTATAAATATTTTTATTTATAATTTTTTAAATTGTATTATTTTTTAATATAGTTTTTTTAAATGTTATTTAATCAGAATTTGTTTTTAAAATGCTAAAAAAAAAATCCATTTATGTCCCCCCTGATCATTAGCTCCTATCACAAGTGACAATTCTTTTAAAGTACTCACGTCCCCAATTTATTGTTCAGCCAGCCTTTTCTGACCTTGAGATCTTTTTGTGTTTTTTACCGGCTGGTTGAGAACTGGGATTTTACGGTGAAATTTCAAAAAATTGACCATTGAAAAGAGGAAGTTACAAATGAATGGCTTAGATCATCTCGTCAGTTGATCATGAAGCCATTGGGTTAGGGTATCTTTCCTAGCGGGACCCATAAAAATCTTGAGTACCAAACCTCTTGCGTGTGTGAGAAATTCATGGCTGTGCTGCGAATTCCTGTCTAGGTGTTTGTTGGTCTTCACGGGCTCTTCTACTCGAGAATCCCAAGTATGTATCTGACAGCAGCAATGATACTAACGTCCACTTGCCTTTGTTTGGCAGAGAAAACACCAAGTTGCATGCGAGTATTTTTCTGTCATCAGCTGTTTTTGCTTGCATTTACCTTCTTCTATTCATTTATTATATATTTTTGTATTTTAAAAATATTTCTAAAAAAAAATAATTTTTTTTATTTTCTTTAAATTAAAATGTTTAAATTATTTTGATGCTATTATATAAAATATAATTTTTTTTAAAATAAAAATATTATTTTAATATATTTTCAAATAAAACATATTTTAAAAAATAATTATAACCACACTTAATACTATGTATTCACATGTTTTAAGGTTGTTTTTCAGTTACTTCAATTTCAAACGAGCCATGGGGAAGGATGATTCTTGGATCTATCAAGCCATAGATGTATTAGTTTAGAGATATTTCTGCTGTCGCTTCTCAGGACCGAAAAAGTATTTTCCTCTGCATCAACATGCCAATGAAGAAGGTAAACGCTCCCAGAACAGATTAATATGGTATTATTTTCTGTTAATATGCTATTACAAACAGCATATTTATTAGAATCCAAATTTCTATGCTCATGTGTTGCTCTCTGGATTATCGATGTCATCTTGATTGCATCCACTTGTTCTTCTCATTCTCATGCGCAATTCTTTTTGGCCAAGGCATTTTTTTGCCCTGAGCATGCTTAGAATATGCACCAGTCTGGTTTTCAAACTTTATGTGCCGAGATTATAATTCAGAGTAGGAGAAATTAAAGTCGTCGTTGCGTCTGTGCATTCACCATGCTTTAAAAAATCCAACCAATGAGGCCCATTAATGATGGAATAGACAAAGTTCTGATAGGGATTTCAGTAGCTATATAGTGCGGTACACTTAGCTTTCAGATGATCAATCTTTTCTATTGCGGGAGCTTTTTTTCACTTTCTGTGTTTTAAAAAAAATTATTTTTTTATTTTTTTAAATTAATATTTTTTATTATACTAATTTAAAAAATATTTTTTAAAAAATTAAAAATATTATTTTAATATATTTTTAAATAAAAAATATTTTAAAACACAACCCGTATTACTCATCGTAATTACTGCCTCCAACGGTCACAGCAACAGTGCGTGGCATATGGCAGGGTTTGACGTAAAGCTTCACGTGGTGTTTTTCTATAAAATAAATTAAACTTTTTTATTTAAATTAATTTTTTAAATATTTTTTATTGTTTTCATGTATTTTTTAAAAATATAAAAAAAATATTTTAATATATTTTTAAATAAAAAATCTTTTAAAAAATAATTAACGATGATAAACACTAACTGCTAATAATGGTGGTGGCATAAAAAGTGACTGCCACTAATATAGGGATAAACTCCACATCTAACAGTATACATCAACCGTTTGGATGGTACATATGGTCTCTTTTTTTTGTCAAGTCCATGGACATTTGGCCCCCCCTTGAGAGAAGCATTCCTTCTTGCTCCAGGTCTCCTTTTAAGTTGTAAGAAAAGTATGATTTAAGAAATCCTGAATTTCCTAATTAATCTCAAATCAATTTTTTTATTTATTAATATTGTATTGTTTGGTCTAATTGTTTAATTATACAAGAAGTAGAGTCCTTTGTAATTTCCCCTTGAAAATCAATTGATTACACTGCACACACACAAATTTTTCTAACACGAGATGCATATTGGATTTCAGTTGAGAATGAATGCTCATGAGGAGATAAATTCAAAACCAAATATAAAAATTCTTTTATATTTTTAAGATGATAAAGAAGTTATTTCTAGGAAATACAAACCTCTCTATCTAAAGATTTTAACATTTAATGGGTTATATTCTCTATGATTTAACAATTGATTTTATGAGTTTATGTGGTTTGATTTTATCCGGATGAGCTTTTATAAACTCTATTCATGAAACAACTTGTATTTACTCAACAATTTCTCCTGCTAGAAATTGTTAGGTATTCTTGTCTTCAAGAGAGCGGGTGGCATGATGGCAAGTAGAATTTCTACTCGTCATATCAGCTGGCTGCTAATAATTGCATAATATTAGCTGGTTTGGGGTATTTAGATGTTTATTTTTTAAAGTATTTTTTATTTAAAAATATATTAAAATATTTTTTTAAAAAATTATTTTTAGTATCAGGTTATTAAAATAATTTAAAAATATTAATTTAAAATAAAAAATTAATTTTTTTAAATATATATATTTTTTAAAAATAGATAAAAATATAATCGTTAGCCTTTTCTCTTTTCTCTGTGGGGAGTGGTCGAGAAATAAATTCCAACCAACAATCTCGTCTCCTCGTCCTTGGTGCTTTCTGAAAAATGGTCACTGTCTAAAAAGCGCGGTTTTCCCTGTTCTCCCCCAGAAATTCCCCGTGTGTTTCCTCTCTTTGGAGGGCTAATTCTTGATTTTTTTTTAATTATTAATATAGATATTCAGATACCCAACTAATTTTATAAATTTTTAAATTAATAACTATATAAATCTTTTTAAAAAAACTTAAACTCATAAATATTAAAAAAATCTATAAATTTTAAAATTAATAATTATATAAATCTTCCTAAAAAAACTTAAACTCATAAATATTAAAAAAGTCATGATTTTGTAGGACCTCTTCTAGGTGGGGGCAGCTGGACACCACTCACTTAGGTAAACACTTTTCAGAGCATGTATTTAGCCCGTGGCTGGCCAGGACACCGTCATCGCCTTTTTTTTGGGTCCATTATAAGTTCATGATTGAATCGATGCCTTAGTGGAAAACGATATTATTTCTAGCCATCAGTTGGCCGCTTACGTTTAAAAATCTATGTTTACATGCAACCGCTTTAAGCTATTGGTGCGGTATGGTTAATTCTTCTACTTCTCAACAGTTTAAATAATCTTTACCGATGTGGATCTGGGGGTTGAAGTTGACATCATCTTAATTAGAGAGGTGAAAATAGTAATTAAGTTTTTCAGAAGTTAAAATTTAAGTTTGTGCGTCCATCTTCTTCTTCAGAAGATTAGTAGTAGAATCTAAACTTAAAAATCACCACACAAATCACTTAGATTTATAATTCTAGCCGTCAAAGTTTCAACATTTTATAATTGAAAATAAATCCTGCAATGAAACTCGCTTGGGTAGGCATAAGGAAACTCGGAGGAATTTCCTCTCAACTACTGAATTAAAAAACGAATAGGAAACCTTTGAAGGGTTTTGATTCATGGAATAGGAAATCAATTTTTTTTTGGATTCTTTTTTAAAAATAATATCATCTTGATAAAAAAAATAAAAAATAGACCGGCTTAAACCAATCCTAGAATCAAATCATTACAGGTGAAGTTACCAAGCAATCCGTTACATGTGAAAATCATGCGTCATAATTCCATGCATAAAACTTGCCATGGTACTTGTGCTAGTTCCTTTATAGTAAAATTTGCTCTTGTGCATTTTTCAATAAACAATAAATTATGAAGTTGTAAGTATGCTAGGAAATATTAATGCACCCATTTGCTTAATTGCTTTAATCCATTTGATTAAACTTTGTTCTTGTGTATTTCTCAATAAAGGTTGCTAATAATGGAATAAATTACTAAAAATGTTGTTGCAAATAAATAGGTATTATAATTACAAACCCCAACAAATAGGCATATCAATTAATCACACCAAATGATATATATATATATATATATATATATATATATATATATGTATGTATTGGATTTTTCTTTCTTTGTTTAAAACTATTTTTTTAATCTTTAACATTGATTGTTTAACTAATGAATACTTATCCAATTTTCAAGGTTAATATTATTCATTAATATCATTTTTATCTAGAGTTTGTTTAAGAATATAGTTGAAGTTGATTTTTAAATAATCTAAAAATATTAAAAAATTAATTTGAAATAAATTTTTTTAAAACATTTTAAAATATTTTTAAAATATAAAACCACACATGTCATAATAAATTATAGTGGTAAATGATATTTCCTTAAAAATCATACCTCAAAATTTTAATTAATCACATACCTTTCGATGGTATAAAAGATTGTGTATTTTTTTTTAAAAAAAACACAATCCTTGCATGGCTTCTGAATCTTGATGCACCCTATAAAGCTTGCACGGGGATTTTGTGCTCCCTCTTGTTTTTCTTTCTCCCATCTCTCTCTCTCTCTCTCTACTTGAAACCCATCTTTATAAATTCGAATATAGCTTCACAATTGAGTGAAAAGATCAGTCTTTTTCACCGAATCCTTGTTTTTTTTTTTTTTTGTTGTAATCTCTAAAGTCCGGTGCCAACTGTCAAGCCAGTTCTTGTATTGCCTACCTAGGTGGGTTATTGATGCCGTTCTTGTTTGAGTTGTAATTCATGTTTTGTGTTTGGAATATCTTGGATTCTTTTTAACTTGCGTTTGTGTTTTTAAGCTCAACTTGATTTTCAAGTTGGAGGAAGTGTTTTGTAGTATTTCTGTTCATGCAATGTATTTACCTTTTCAACTGAGTGAAAATAAACAAAGAGGGCTCTGTTTTTGTGTGCTAAATTGAATTGCTTCTGTGGATCTTATGATTCTTCTTGTCCGCGCTTTGCCAATCTGTCAGTCTTGCTTTCATGAACTGGAAAAAAGGGTGGTGATGCTTTTTTGGATATTTGAGGTTTATTTTTTGAATGAGAAGGTTCAAATATTTTGGCTTAAATAGCTAGGATTTTTTTGTAGACCCCGTTTTTGTTGCTTCAGTGCTATTCTGTGGATCCCATTCTCTGTTTTATCTCTTTCTCGTTGCCCTTATGTCATTTTGTGTTTGTCTTGTTTGATGAATATGCAAAAAATGCTCATGCCATTTATTTCAGCCCGATAATTGGATTTCATACAGCCGTAGAAATGTGTTTCACTCTGTTTTTTAAGATGTGACAATGATTTGATGTAGTTCTCTTAGTGTCTTACTTACTAGGACTGAGATTTTTGTGTGGCTTATAGGGATTACTGAGCACTTAATTTACTTTCAAACAAAAATGTAGGAGATTCAATTGCTCTGAAAACACCATTATCCCATCAAATTGTTGATTGGAGGTTGGGTTACTAAAGTGTGCGTATGCCTGGAAACCAGTACAACGGTAACTCTACCGTTAACTCAGGTCGTGTCGGACGGCTCTTAAAGATAAGAGAGCAAAGGAGAAGTATCAGGTCTGCCAATTCAAATGAGGTAACTGATAACCATAGAGGAACTGAACCATGTGAATATGATTTGCGCACGCGAGAAGGTGACAGCTCAAACAGTTCATTAATCGAACAATACTTGGAAGGTCATATCGCAGAGGGATATGAAAAGCTGGATGTCAGGCCTTTAAGGCAACGGCTGTTGGTGGTAGCTAATAGACTACCTGTATCTGCAGTTAGAAGAGGTGAAGACTCATGGTCTTTGGAGATAAGTGCTGGGGGCTTAGTCACTGCTCTTCT